CTGGTTCAGACCTGCTTTAGACCTGCTTTAGACCTGCTTTAGACCTGCTTTAGACCTGGTTTAGACCTGGTTTAGACCTGGTTTAGACCTCGTTTAGACCTCGTTCAGACCTGGTGTAGTCCTGGTTCAGACCTCGTTTAGTCTTGGTTGAGACCTAGTTTAGACCTGGTTTAGACCTTGTGTTGAGACCTGGTTTAGACCTGGTTTAGACCTGATTTATACCAGTTAAGACCTGGTTCAGTCCTGGTTCAGACCTGGACCAGTTCAGACATAGTTTAGACCTGGTTTAGAGCAGTTGAGACCTGGTTAAGATCTGGTTTAGTCCTGGTTTAGATCTGGTTTAGACCAGTTAAGACCTGGTTAAGATCTGGTTCAGACATTGATTAGACCAGTTCAGACCTGGTTCAGACCTGGTTTAGTTTAGACCAGTTTAGAGCGAGTTTAGTCCTCGTTCAGATCTGGTTTAGATTTGGTTTAGATCTAGTTTAGTCCTGGTTCAGTCCTGGTTTAGACCTGGTTCAGACCTGGTTTAGACCTGGTTCAGACCTGGTTCAGACCTGGTTTAGACCTGGTTCAGACCTGGTTTCTGGTTCAGACCTGGTTCAGACCTGGTTTAGACCTGGTTTAGACCTGGTTTCAGACCTGGTTTCTGGTTAGACCTGGTTAGACCTGGTTTAGACCTGGTTTCAGACCTGGTTTAGACCTGGTTTAGACCTGGTTTCAGACCTGGTTTAGACCTGGTTCAGACCTGGTTCAGACCTGGTTTAGACCTGGTTCAGACCTGGTTCAGACCTGGTTCAGACCTGGTTCAGACCTGGTTCAGTTCTGTGTATATTTAGAGTCCGTGGGTGCAGTGGAGCCTGAGTCAGACTGAATCTCATCTATGATCCGAGCGAGAGAAAAACATGGAAATGAGTTTATGAAAAAAAAAAGTGATTAACAGAAAAGAGGAGAGAGAGGAGAGAGGAGGAAGAAAGAGGAGAAAAAGAGGAGGAGAACCAGGTGGAAGAGGACGAGGAGATGAAGAGGAGGAAGAAAAGAGTCGGGGAAAAGGAGGAAGAGAGGAGGAGAACCAGGAGGAAGAGGAGGAAGATAAAAGGAGGAGAAGAGAGAAGGAGGAGAAAGGATGTGCTGTAGATCCTCACCTCCTCCAGTGAGACGCTTTCCACAGACACACGCTGAGCACCACTGGGTTTCATCCACCTTCTTCACGATCCGGGCCAGAGTGAGCAGGTACACCTCGACTTCCCTCACCCCAGACACCTCCTCCAGTCACCACCTCCTCCCGTGTCACTGAGCTCCTCTCCCTGTGCTGTGTTCAGATCCCAGCGTCAGGAGGGTCTACGGGTCATGGGCGAGTTGGAAAAAAAAAAAAAAAAGAACTTTCAGCAAAATTTCGTTTCGTTTAATGTGTTTAAAGTGTCTCTCCTCAATGCAAAAGTGTCCAACTACAGAGGTGTTTTGTGCTATTTTGACATCAATATCTTTTGGTCTTTACCCAAAACTCATGAGCATAGGACCATAGGAGAGTAGGACCAGAGATATAACCAGGACTAAACCAGGACTAAACCAGGACTAAACCAGGACTAAACCAGGACTAAACCAGGGAACATAGGTGAGAGTAGTAAAGTGGATTGAATACTAAATCCACAGTTGCATTGCTTTTCAGCTTCTACTTCACCACAACAGTCTAATAAATCTACACCACTGCTCCATCCTCAACCAGGACTGAACCAGGACTGAACCAGGACTGAACCAGGACTGAACCAGGACTGAACCAGGACTGAACCAGGACTGAACCAGGACTGAACCAAGACTCAACCAGGACTGAACCAGGATTGGACCAGAACTCAACCAGGACTGGACCTCACTCTTGAGAAAACACAAAAAAAAACATCCAGACATCAAAAAATCTAAATAGTCAAAAAAATATTTTAAAAAGTCTGCAAACTCAAGGAGAAATACAAAGTGAATCATAATTGGAAGACAATTATTCCGATGCCCCGGCAGGTCAGGAGACCAGGTCTTCTAAACACTGAACTACAACATTACATAAGGGTGAATCACACACACTTAAAGACTTTAAACCCAGTGCCACGCTGACCTCTGACCTCTGAGGGTGTATATGAGCTTGTGCAAAGACAAGACAGACAACTAATACTAATACTAACACTAACACTAATACTAATACTTGTCGCCAGGATCATGTAGAGTGTGTATATGAACATTTTCAAACCACAATGTCGAGGTTCACAGCAGCAGTCAGAGAGAGAGTGAGAGGACATGGTCAGCTGCAGTCAGAGCTCCAAGAAACCACTTCATCCTCAAGCTCATTTCCTGTTTGGAAGTGACTTCCTGTTTGTCTAGTGTGTTAGCTATGTCCTTTTATAAACAGTCATTGGTTCTAGTGCCTCTTTTGCCCCCGTAGACCAGGACCTGGCTCTGACACACTGAGCTGTGGACTGGGACAAGAGTCTGAGGTTTTGGGGCAAAGATGATCTGGATTCTTTTGTGCAGTCGGAGTTTCCTGTGTGAACCCTGAGTCCTGTAAAACAGAAACATCTTAACTCTCTATTGTTCTTTTCTCATGTAAATGTGACACAAATATCTATAGAACTCAACCAGGATTTAAGCAGGACTGAAGCCAGGACTAGACCAGGTCTAAACCAGGTCTGGTGTGAGACGACTTTATTTTCTTAACACATTTCAATAATTGAAATAATATTTTCATGATTTTCTCACTTCTGTCTGTGAAATGAATCACCCTCAGAGCAGAGACTGAACCAAGTCTAAACCAGGACCAAACCAGGACTAAATCAGACTTAAACCAGGACTAAACCAGACCTAAACCTGGACTAAATCAGGACTATATCAGAACTAAATCAGGACCAAATCAGAACTAAATAAGGACTAAATCAGGAGTTAATAGGACTAGACCAGGTCTAAACCGAGACAGACTGAATAAATCAGGACAATGCAGGTCTAAGCAGGTCTAAGCAGGTCTAAGCAGGTCTAAGCAGGTCTAAGCAGGTCTAAGCAGGTGTTGTCAGGTCTTAACCAGACCAGGTCTAAAGCAGGTCTAAAATAGGTCTAATCCAGGTCTAAACCAGGTCTAAAGCAGGAACATTAAAAGAAGGACAGGAGGTTCTGAACGTCGCCGCGGAGACGAGTGGGAGGCAGGCGTCTCCGTGGAAACTGTCTCCCTCCCTCCGTCTCCGCGGCGACAGCAATGGAGCAGCATCAGGACCAGGACTTTACATTATTCAACCTCCTCTTTTTAATGTCCTCTTTAAAAACACAACTACAGTTTAGACTCAAATATTAAACATGACCCAATCCAAATCACTATTTGAATTGACACAATTAGAAAAAAAGACTGACTTTTTTTTTTTGACATTTTACTGCAATTTATACTCCACAAACAACAAAATACAATGTTCTGAAATGTGATTCATCTATTAGTTTGTCAGTTCAGATTTCAGTCTTTGTTGTTCCTTCTGGACGTGTTTAAAATATGAACTTTGAAGAGAATCCTTTACTGAAAACAGAAATCAAAATCACGATGTTTCAGAAAAAAATCACCTTTAGAGTTTTAAGTTTCAGGTTTAAAATTTCAGTATTTAAAGATTTTGTAAACCGCTTTTGTGTCATTTATTTTATTTAAGATCAAATTAATATGAAAAACTAAACCAGGACTAAACCAGGACTAAACCAGGACTGAACCAGGACTGAACCAGGACTAAACCAGGAATAAACCAGGACTAAACCAAGACTGAACCAGGACGAAACCAAGACTGAACCAGGACTAAACCAGGACTGAACCAGGACTAAACCAGGACTGAACCAGGACTAAACCAGGACTAAACCAAGACTGAACCAGGACTAAACCAAGACTGAACCAGGACTAAACCAGGACTAAACCAGGACTAAACCAAGACTGAACCAGGACTAAACCAGACTGAACCAGGACTAAAACCAGGACTGAACCAGGACTAAACCAAGACTGAACCAGGACTAAACCAAGACTGAACCAGGACTAAACCAGGACTAAACCAGGACTGAACCAGGACTAAACCAAGACTGAAACCAGGACTAAACCAGGACTGAACCAGGACTAAACCAAGACTGAACCAGGACTAAACCAGGACTAAACCAGGACTGAACCAGGACTAAACCAAGACTGAACCAGGACTAAACCAAGACTGAACCAGGACTGAACCAGGACTGAACCACGACTAAACCCGGACTAAACCAGGTCTAAACCAGGACTAAACCAAGACTGAACCAGGACTAAACCAAGACTGAACCAGGTCTAAACCAGGACTAAACCCGGATTAAACCAGGACTAAACCAGGATGAAAAAAAAAAAAATCCTAAATGTGATTACTTTTTGTCCAGCCCTCTCTCTCCTCTCTCCCTCACTCATCCTTTCATCCTGTCTTCTCTCCTTTCTCTCTTTTATCTTTTCCCTCCTCCTTCACTCTCTCCTCTCCATCTCTCCATCCCTCTTCTCCACAGACTGTACATCTCTCTCTCCCTTTTCTTTTCTTTATCCTTTCATCTTCCATCTTTCTCACTTTCTCTCTCTGCCCTTCTTCCTCTCTTCACTGTCTCTTTACTCCTCCCTCTCTCCCTCTCTCTCACCCTTTCTCCTCTCCTCTCTTCCTTCATGGCCCACCGTCCCCGCTCTCTCGCTCGCTCACTTACTCACTCACTCCCTCTCTCTCTTTTCACGCTCTCCTCTCTCTCTCTCTCTCTCCGCTCTCCTCTCTCTCTCTCTCTCTCTGTTCCTGTTTCTGTGCTGCTGTTGTGTTGAGTCAGACCGCTCTCTATGGCTGCAGCGTGCCTCCTCTCTCCTTCCCTCTCTCCTCTTTCCTAACTCCTCTGTCCTATATCCTCTCCTATTTTAACCCTTCATCTCTTCTCTCATCTCTCCTCTTTCCTGTATCCCCCCCCGACTCATCCCTCCTTTTCTCTCTCCTCTCTACTAACTCCTCTCCTCCCTCCTTTTCCTCTCTCCTCTCCTCTTTTAACCCTCCGTCTCTCCTTCGCTTTTTTCATTCTTCCCGCCGCTTGTTGCTTTGGAGATTTCACACTTTTCTCAGAACAAGGAAACAAGGACACGAGGATGGATTTAAGGAGCTAGGAAGCACGTGAGGACTAACTGTTTGGATACGGACCAAGGATTAAAAAGCCATAGCGTTAAGGACACATGGTAAGGACACTTCTTTATCTAAACTGTCGCAGCCGCGTGGACGAGGAGCTAGGGAAGGTTGCATGAAGACAGCACTGAGTTGACAAAAAAATCTGATAATTTAGTTTGTTTTGGTTGGAGTGAGGTTCGTGGGATATCAGAATTACACCGGATGCCCTCCCAGATTCAGAGATGAGATTAACACAAAAAAAATCTACAACCAAGGAGGCAAGGATGCAAGGGAAGAAGCTAGGAGTCTTCACTGAGGACGCACTGAAGGAAAGAAGGAAGGACAGATGAATGTACTGGGTTAGTCCAGGTCAAATTTAAGAACTAAACCAGGACTAAACCAGGATTAAACCAGGACTAAACCAGGTATAAACCAGGATTAAACCAGGACAAAATCAGGACTAAACCAGGGCTAAACCAGGACTAAACCAAGATTAAACCAGGACTAAACCAGAACTACACCAGGACTGAACCAGGACTAAACCAGGACTGAACCAGGACTAAACCAGGATTAAACCAGGACTAAACAGGATTAAACAGGACTAAACTGGACTAAACCAGAACTAAACTAGGATTAAACCAGGACTAAACCAGGTCTAAACCAGGACTAAACCTGGACTAAAGTAGAACTAAAGTCAAATTTAAATCAGGACTAAACTGGGACTGCACCAGGTCTAAACCAGTCTAAACCAAGTCTAAACCAAGTCTAAACCAGGACTAAACCAAGATAAACCAGGACTAAACCAAGATTAAACCAGGACTAAACCAGAACTACACCAGGACTGAACCAGGACTAAACCAGGACTGAACCAGGACTAAACCAGGATTAAACCAGGACTAAACCAGGATTAAACCAGGACTAAAAACTGGACTAACCAAACTAAACAGGATTAAACCAGGACTAAACCAGGTCTAAACCAGGACTAAACCAAGATTAAACCAGGACTAAACCAGAACTACACCAGGAACTACAGGAAACCAGGACTGAACCAGGACTAAACCAGGATTAAACCAGGACTAAACCAGGATTAAACCAGGACTAAAGGACCAGGTCTAAACCAGGTCTAAACCAAGTCTAAACCAGGACTAAACCAAGATTAAACCAGGACTAAACCAGAACTACACCAGGACTGAACCAGGACTAAACCAGGACTGAACCAGGACTAAACCAGGATTAAACCAGGACTAAACCAGGATTAAACCAGGACTAAAACTGGACTAAACCAGAACTAAACTAGGATTAAACCAGGACTAAACCAGGTCTAAACCAGGACTAAACCTGGACTAAAGTAGAACTAAAGTCAAATTTAAATCAGGACTAAACTGGGACTACACCAGGTCTAAACCAGGTCTAAACCAAGTCTAAACCAGGACTAAACCAGGTCTATACAGGAAGCAGCTAGGACTCTTCACTGAGGAAGCACTGAAGGAAACAAGGAAGGACACATGAATATATTTGGTCTAAATCAAATTCAGAGCTCCAAAATAGAACAGAATATTTATTTATTTATCATTATTTTTTTTTCCATTTCAAAACAGTTGAGCTGTTTTACTGTAATGAAGTAGGAACCTAAAACTGTAACTTATTCAGAAAAAGAAAGAGGAACTAGAAGATAAAATAGCTTCTGACTCACGTTCCTTTGGCAGTTTCATTAGTGAGAAACGATGAGCACAACATGACGTCCGTTTTACGTCAGATGAGACTATACCCTCTTGTTTTTATCCAGGTTTTGGACTGACACAATTTCTTCAACACACCATATGAACTTTTGGACCTGTAGTGTCTCTTTCACAAAAATGTGCTGGTAAAAAATGGACAAAAATAAACAAATCTATCACAAACTGTAAAAATGAAACAAGATACAGAGGATTATCTGGGTCTGGGACTGGCACAAAGCATGTTAAATCACTTCTGTTTAAAGGTGCATTATGTAACTTTTTGGTTGGGGGTCTGATGTGTGATTGCTCTGCCTGGAATGTCCCACAGTATGACTTTAAGCATTTTTACAGGTAGTTTTATGGCTCAAAAATACAAAACAATACAAAACATTCTGACTGTGAGCGGGGTCGAATCTCCACAGATCTGACCTGTAACCTGATAGAAAGTTTTAATGCCACACCGTGAAACAGTCAAGACAACGCAACAGCATCTCCATGGAGAAAAGCATTTGACAGACCACCCAAAAGAAAAGTTACACCATGCACCTTTAAAGGGACAGTCCGGAATTTTGGACATAGGACGTCATTTCCTAGTGAGCCAGAGTGTTGGAGACGTGTGGAGACACTTTTTCAAATATTCTATCCAGTCCTTGTATTTGCAGAGGTCGCTGGTGCTAGGCTAGTGCATGTCAATGGCCATAGTTAGCCTGTCACTACAAACAGTCTTACCCACTCCACAAAACACCCGAAGCAAATCTATTATTACACCAGACTGTCCATGTGAATGTCTGTGTTGACAGAATAATTGTAGAAGTAAAACTAACCTTGCATTTGAAGGATTTATGTGTGAGCAGCAGCAGTGAGTTGTACTAACTGATAGAAAGCTCGGCAGCAGCGGACTGATATATGAGAAAATAGTCCCTCAACATGCGACGATTCACACGATGCAATGTTAGTTTTATTTCAAACATTATTCTGTCAGCACAGACATTCACATGGACAGTCTGGGGTAATAATAGATTTGTTTCAGGTGTTTTGTGGAGTGGGTAAGACTGTTTTTAGTGGCAGGATAAACTATGGCCATTGACATGCACTAGTCTAACACCAGTGACCTCTGCAAATACAAGGACTGGTTGGAATAGATGCATCAAGAATTTTGGACTTCAAGTCATCGTGCAATACAAACTGGGAAGGATTTTCCAAAAAAGTGAGCATCAATCCACCATGTTTGTTTTTCCAGTGGGATGCGTCTATAGTCAAAGTCGATCTTTTCAAGTCTTTTGAACCATATCGCTTCTGTTTCTGGTTCTGATATTGTCATATTTTAGTTTTGGGATTCGGACATTGTAATTGTGTGGTTGTTGGATCCTAACAGCGGAAAACGGCTCGAGAAATTTGTTTGCAAACTCCATAAATGCAAAAGTGAATCAGATGTGTGTGACTCAAACCTCTGTGCAAACTGTTTCTCTTCCCAACGGAATTGAAAAATAGTGAAAGGTGAAGGTGATGGGCAGGACTGATCCACAGGAAGAACCAAAAAGGAAACATTTGACTGACTAAATCATCCCGAGTTTGCAGAGAACATTTTTTATGTAGAGAGCCAACAAAGAAGGATCCTGTTTGTTAAGCGAGAGGTGCAGAAGACAAACAGACTGAGCTGCACTTTCTTGTTCTTGTGGTTTTACAGCAACATCACGTCTTGGTCTCTTTGCAGTGGAAGGTGTTTCTTGGTGAACAGCTGGTGTCTTTTACTTTGGCGTTGACTTTTTAAATTTGTAACCGAGGTTGAGCGAGGGATCAGGATTTTGCTTTGATGGAGCTTCACATACAAAAAGCGGGATGATTTAGGCAGTCAGTGGTTTCCTTTTTCAACCTTCTTGTGGATCACTCCTGCCCATCACCTTCACTTTACACTATTTTTAATTTCCGCTGGGAAGGGAAACAGTTTGAACGGAGGTTTGCAGTCACACACATCTGATTCCCTTTTGCAGTTATGGAGTTCACAAACTAATTTTTCGAGCCGTTTTCTGCTGTTAGGATCCAACAACCACACAATTACAATGTCTGAATCCCAAAACTAAAATATGACAATATCAGAACCAGAAACAAAAGTGATATGGTTCAAAAGACTAGAATAGATGGATCCCACTAGGAAAACAAACATGGAGGTTTGATGCTCACTTTTTCGGAAAATATTTCCCAGTATGCATTGCACAATGATTGGAAGTCCAAGATTCTTGATGCATCTATATTTCAAAGAGCGTCTCCACACATCTCCAACAGTCTGGCTCACTAGGAAATGAGATCCTATGTCCTTTAACCTATCAGCCTTCAAGCTTCTATATTGATTCTTGAATTGAACTGAGTCTTTTGAGCTTTAAGTCATGTTATAATGTTGTTACCTCTTCAAAAACAGATCTGGAGTTATGTTTTGTTTTATATGCACATGTTTGAGTCACATTTTATTATTAGTCTGTCCACATCTCCAAAGCTCAAAATGCTCTGTTCCACCTTGTGATGTCATGAAGCAGTAGTTCCACCTCCTTTTACCTTTAGTTCAGTAGAGATTGGCAATTACAGCACTGATATTAGGTGTATGGAGTTTAAAAACACAGTGGAGCACTTCTAGAGTGAGAGAACAGAGTGTTTTCTGGTTGAGAGAGGAACAAAATCTGCAGGGTTTGTGTGTTAAACATGAAAACTCCAAGTCTGTTTGTGATGGGGAAACATTATAACAGAGATCAGAAAACAGAGTGATGTGAGCTCTTTAAATCTCCAACACACGCCGATATTTAGTTTTGGATTTATGTACAAAACATCCTGCAGAAATGTCCCCGCTCAGCTCTCTGATCCAGTCTGTGATGAAACTGATCATGGATGAGTTTGTGCTGAATTCAGATTAAATAATTGGTGGAAATGATCAATATTGCCTCAAAAACATTACAGATGCACCAATATCGATACTGGAAAATTTGCTGGATCAGGTATCGATTCCATGGTATCAGTTCAGATGATATCCTGGTTGGGTCTTTCATTTATTGGCTGATTTTGTGCCTCATAATGTTTGAACCTGTGTCCATATAAAGCTGCTCTGTGCTGATTTGAATAAATAACAGTTACATAACTCAGCTGGATCTCTTGTGTAATAAGTTAACTGTGTTTTAAAGGGCCATATTACTCTGATTATTTTTGGATCTCCAATCTCTGTTATAATGTATACAAGTATATATAATATATAAACTATACGTATACTATATAAACAGAATCATGGAAAAGGAGGATTGTTTTTTTCCCTAAAACGGGATTTGAACCCAGATCACCTGCACTGGAGACAAGTGTCCTAATACTCTGTGCACAGCGCCCAGCAGCCTCACTGTTAGCATCACTACTTCCTGTCATTACTACATCACTACTTCCTGTCATTACTACATCACTACTTCCTGCCCAAGTTTATCTCCGTGTGTTTTTTTACTGAGTCGTGCTAAAATCTATAGATATTTAAAGATAAAGCTGTGAGCCTGTGGCCTGTGGTGAATGTCACTGAAAACATGTTCAAAATTACACAAATAAGTCTTTTATTTATATAGCACTTTTCACAGACATTTGTCACAAAGACACTTTACAGAGCATTATTCATTCACTCCACACCCGCTGGTGATAAACTAATACTGTAGTCACAACTGCCCTGGGGCAGACTGACGGAAGCGTGGCTGCCATGTCAATCTCCACCATCTGTCCCTCTGACCACCAACATCACTCACACACACCACTTTCATACCAGGCAATGTGGGTGAAGCGCCTTGCCTAAGGACACAACAACAGTTTTTTTGTGACTGGTGCCTCCTGTGGCACCTGATTTTCCCAGTGTCTCCATCCAAGTAGTGACCAGGCCCAGCCCTGCTGAGCTTCTGAGATCTGACTGGATCAGGCTTTGACAAGCCAGTATGGCCACACAGACTTCTACAAATAAAACATAAGAAGACTTCAGCGGGGGACACAACACCACAAACTGACTGTCACCTGCCTCACCTGCCTCCCTTGAACGCACATCACTGAAATTTAGATTTTGAGACAAACTTTAAGTCTCTGCACCTGATTTTTACATCTTAAAAACATGAAAAACAGAACTAGTTCACTGTAAACAGTTTGCAGTATCATTATGAATCAGCACGATGAGACTGAGCGATTTTCACAACTCTCTGAGACCAGAGTTTTCATGTGACATTAAAGCTAACAACAACTAGCATGCTAATGCAAGCATCCTGATACAACGTGGACTTATTCTGACCTCTAGAGCTGCTTACACACTACATCTGTGCAAGACACATTATGCTCAAACACATGTGGAAACATCTGGTGCAGGGACTTTGCTTTGCAGCTTCAGAAGTCGTTTCTCCTCTGTTGACAAAATATTACAGTTTCAAACCCAATTTCGAAACCTGATATTCAATACTGATTCTGATACCACGATGATAATAAAAACATTCTTTACTTAGACAACAGAATGTAATTTTCAACGTTAAACGGTAGTACGTTCTTTTATATTCCCGTGTGTTTTATATGTGTGTAATCCCTCAGTGGTCCAGGTAAGTTCCACACTGATCCATGTGTGTGTACTCTTCTATGTGCTCTTATACTTGATCTGATACAGCTCAACATCATTCTAAAACTATTCAGGAAAGGTTTATTTCTGTCCTGTGAATGAGTGTCTAGTTTCAATATTAGTTTTAGTATTGATTGATATCACTTTTTTTTTTCTTTCACCGCCAACATTGTGACGTACATACTTCCTTCTCCAGTTTTATTTTCTTAATCAATGATACACGTAGGATTCAGCAGCGTCGTGCAGTCATTTTGGTCCAAATGAATTCAAAATGTTCTGCTCTAGTGTGAGGTGCACATATCCACAGGAGGGGCCCACAGCATGTGGCCATTTGTTGTGATGAAATTTATAGAGACGTCAGCTCCCACTGGACACGCAGAAGTCAGCACACTTGTTTTTTGTTTCTTTAGATGAATATTGTGATTTAAAATGTGTAAATTCTAACATAATAATCCACGGGTGTCATAGATTATAACTATAGAGCACATACAAGCACTTTATGTCTGCATTAAAATTAAAAACCCAACTATCAGCTCAGACTCAGTTTTTTTGTTTTTCTTTCTTACTTTTGTTGCTCTTAAAGATGTCGGCGCCTCCTCTGATTCGTGCTCCCAGCCCTCTCCCGTTTCCCGGGGCGACAGAGGAAGAGGGCGGGGCAGCTCCACCAGGGGGCGTGGTCTCCTTCCACATCCAGATCGGACTGAGCAGAGAGCCTGTTCTACTGGACTCTGGAGACCTGAATCTGAGCCAAGTCCGAGAGGTGGCCTGCTCCATCATAGACCAGAAGGTAAGACCCCAGAGAGACCATGTTTACACCGGGTTTAGAATTGGTGTTGACTTGGTTTAGCTCTGGTTTACTCCTGGTTTAGACCTGGGTCAGATGTGGTTTGGAGCTAGTACTGTCTTTATTATCATCTGCATTTGACCCAGTGTGTCAGGGTTAAACCTGCATTTGCCCCTCCTTCAGCCTCTCTACTGGACTAACTTAAGAGCGCCACACACCACAGGATTTTTTGGTCTTAAATGATTTTTAAACATGGAACAAAAAGCACACACCACAGACACAAGGAGAATCTGAGGAGATTTTAAATCTCTGATCCCACAGACTGCAGAGTGATATGACCGTGGTCCACAGGATATAAAGTTGAGAGCACGATCACATCAACTGTTTCCTGTCTACAGTAAAACCAATGACTCTGAGACACTTCAGTGTTCAAAAGATCAGACTCTGCACTTCTAGTTTGGATACAAGACAAAACTGTGTTATTACCTCCACCAAGGAGGTTATGTTTTTGCCGGCGTTTGTCTGTTTGTTTGTTTGTTTGTCTGTTAGCAACATAACTCAAAAAGTTATGGACCCATTTTGATGAAATTTTCAGGATTTGTTGGAAATGTGAAAAGGAAGAACTGATTTCATTTTGGGGGTGATCCGGAAGAAATCCTGGATTCTGGATCACTTTGAAATTTTTTGTTAACATTGTGGTAAATGGGGCCAAAAATTTTGTTTCTCAATATCTCGGTTAATTATTGACCAAACCCCATGAAATTTGACTCAGGGATGGACAATGGGATCCTCTTTCATATTCCAAAGGCTGATCCGGATCTGATCCAGAAGACTGATTTTATCGCAATTTATATAAAAAATGGGGGTAGTCCTTGGCGGAGGTCTGCGCTCTCTGACTGCTTTTCTAGTTATTATTTGTGAAATGTGAAGCAAAACTTCAGATACAGGATTTTTAAAGCATAAAATATTGGAGATAAAGGTCACAGGAAGTAGAGCCACTATCGCTGATCTGCAGCTTCACCTTGATCTATGCTCTGTGTGGATGTAAACAGACACACATGAGGAACTATTCTTGCCTTTTTACTTTTAAAGAAACTGCAAGGTTTTGTGGACTGTCATTATTTGCATAGGATGAATTCTCTGGATAATGTGGATGAAATGCTGCTTCTGCTGCTGTTTCAATTTACAACTTTATGAGATGTGAGTAATAATTATTTTCTCTATATTCCGAGTTTGTTTGTTGCGTCTCTGTGTCTGTTACTCCTCTGATCCTGACGTTCTGTTTTATTGTCTGTTATTGTAGCGTTGCTGAAGTTTGGTGGTTCTGATCTGACAGAGCAGCTCAGAGTCACACACACACACACACACACACACACGAGGAGCGCAGTCATATCAAAATCACACATGAAGACACAAAGTCGGGTCATGCCTCCTCCAACTCGGGCAGAAGCAAATTGCAGCCAAAATAGTGCAAATTCTCCTGTCGTGTGTCGAGGCCTTTAGGATTTGACCTTGATAGTATTGTTCATGTTTTGGGTTGATGGAGGAAACCAGAGGAAACCCACCCAGACACAGGGAGAACATGCAGACTCCACATGGAAAGGCCCAGGAGTTGAACCAGGGACCTTCTTGCTGTGTGTGTTCTGGGTGTTAGTTTTATCCTGGTGCAGACTCTGTCCTGTTCTAATCGAGTGACGTGAACATGAGGCTCTGCTCCTGTTTTTACACATGCATCATCTGTGTTTGTGTCCACTTTATTTTAGACTCTAACCCTCTCTCTCCCTCCTCTGACTCACTGCTTTTCATCTCTCCCTCTCCTCTCTCGCTCTTTCTCTCCTCTTCTCTCCCTGTCTCTTTCTCTCTCTTTTCTTTCTCTCTCTTTTTCTCCTCTTTTCTGTCTGTCTCTTTTTCTCTCCTCTCTTTGTTTCTTCCTGTCCTCCTTTCTTCCTCTCCTCTTCTCTTTCTCTCCTCTTCCCTTTCTGTCTCTCTTTCTCTACTCTTCTCTTTCTTTCCTCTTCTTTTTCTGTCCCACTGTCTCTCTCTCTCTCTCTTTCTCTCCTCTTCTGTCTCTGTCTCACCTCTTCTCTTTTTCTCCTCTTTCTGTCTCTCCTCCTCTTTCTTTCTCTACTCCTTCTCTCTTTTTCTTCTCTCTCTGTCCTTCTCTCTCTTCTTTTCCTCTCTCCATCCCTCTTCCTACCTCTTCCTCTCCCCTCTTTCTCTCTCTCCACTTTGTGTCCCTTTTTCCCACATCTCCCTCTTCCGTCTTTCTCTGTCTTCATCTCTCTCGTTGTGTCCTCTCTCCTCTCTTTCTCTTTTTCCTTCTCTCTCTCCTTCTGTCCTCTCTCCTCTTTCTTGCTTGCTGTCTTTCGTCTTCTCTCTGTCTCTCTCGTTCTCTCTCTCTTCTTTTCCTCTCTCTCTGTCCCTTTTCCCATGTCTTCTCTCCTTTCTCTCTCCTCTAACCCTCCCTCTCTCTTTCTCACCCTTTCTCTGTCTCTCTTCCTCTTTCGATCTTCCTTCCTTCTCTCTCTCCTCTCCCCTCCCTCTCTTTCTCTGAGTCACTGCATTCTCAGTCTCATCTTTTTTTGCTAATCTGTCTTTCCTCTCTGTGCCCCCTGCTGGTGTATGTCAGTAAGTGTAATCCACAAAGCTCCTCTGTGTTTTTAAAGTGCGCACACCTCAGACATGTCAGAGTCAGCACTTTTGGAGTATATATATATATATATATATATATATATATATATATATATATATATATTATTATTTTTATTTTTTATTCTAGTCTCTGTTTAAACATTCTGTATTTGTCATTTGGACGTTTTACAAGAGATGGGACTAAAAACAAAAGTTGGGACAGTTCAGAATTCCTTTATTGTTCTCTAATAATGCGTGTTTAGCCTTTTTTTTTTTACCCAGACCTCCCAGTATGTTTATAGTGTTAAAGAGTGCGGCCTGTGCAGTGACTAAGCGCTTAGGGATGAGCGGGGACATTCACACAGACATGTTCTTAATTTTTTTTCTGTTTTTGTTCATTCAAAGCCGAGACTTAAATCTTTTAGTCTGGATGTGAACATGAATGTGCTCAAATCAAAATGAAAAGTACATTTGAGTAAAAAATGCAGTGGAGTAAAAAGTACTGCTCTGAAATGTAGTAAAAGTAACAGTTAAATGTATTCCTACACTGAAAAAAAAAGGTTGCTGGATTTGCATAAAAAAGTTCCGGAAAGCGGCTGCATGCAATAAAATAATGTTTAGGCTTTGAAACTTATTTCGATCCCTCTACACATATTTTTCTCAGAACATGAATGTCACTTTTTCATGTTGATGAAATTTGATCAAATCTTGCTGAATATGTATATTTATCTTATGTTACCTTATCATGAAATGTATACGAATGTATAATTTAATTTAATTGATCTAATTCTGTAAAAGAATACAAAACCAGCCTTTAGTTTTCCACAGTTCTGTCTTGTCTTAAACAGAATCAAACACACAGAGAGCACAGGGACAGAGACACACAGTTTGGAGCTGGACAGTGTGGAGATTTATTCCAGTGAAGAAGCTCTGGTCTCTGCCTGTGGACACAGAATAACACATGATGATCACATTCTGATGATCTACTCTGTTGTACATGTTTAAATACATTTAAAGTACCTATAATGGACCAGAACAGAATCACAAGAACATTAGAAGTGTATCTGCAGAAACAAAACTCACCATGTGCTGCTTTTCTTCCTCTAATCACAGTAACAGGGAGGGCATCTGGTATAAAGTCTCCTAATGCCACATCACCCTGTAGAAACATGATAACTGTTTCAATAGGAAGTTCATTTTGAAAAATTCATTTAAAATCAATTTAGTTGAGTTACTTACTTTGTTCATCTGTGGCTCTGTGTTTTGTTGGTTCTCAAACATCTTCCTTTTTCCTGAAACATCAGCTGTAACATTCATGAACTTCCCCACAGCTCCAGCAGAGCTCTGGACGTCACTCTGTGTTTGTAGACGACTCTGGAACAAACACATTCAAATCTGAGTACAACTGTCACACTCCTGTAGATGGACAGTCAAATACAATTTGTTTAATGGAAACAGATCTTACATTAACTCTAATTTCAAATAAAACACCACAAACATGTTTTAACAATGAAAACATTCTAGGCCAGAGAAACATATAAAATCTTTGAAAAGTCTCACCTCCAGATCAGTTCTCATAATCCTCCTGCTCCACACTGTGTGTCTCTGCTCCTGGATCTGTCCTGTGTCCTGCTACATTTGAATTTTCCCTCCAAAAGTTTTGGGGAGGAGAATTCCAGAGGGAGGAGCCTCACCACAGATTATAATAAAGTCATGTTTCCTCAACCTGATTAAAACATGCAGGTCTCACATCGGCCACAATCAAGTGACCTTTGTAAGATTTAAACATGCTTTACAGAGAAATGTAAAAAAGTCATGTTATTGTTGTCAAATTAGTTTTTGCAATTTGAGCAACCCCTCTCGGACCATTTTTTCAGTATATGTGCACTTAAAGCCCCAGTATGTAACATTTTGGCCATTAAATAGGCCCAAACAAAAGTATGATTTTTCAATATGTAAGTTTTTATTGAAGTGAAGAATGTTCTGGAGGATGAGTTTTAGTTTCTGTTTCTATGGAAACATGTTGTTGACTTTCGACCACCAGAAAGTTACACACTATCGCTTTAAGTACTTTTACTTTAGTCCAGGCCCGAACCGGAACAGGACTGTGTGGTGTCACTGTGAAATAGATAAATATTGAACTGCGCCTCAGGCTTTACTGTCTATAGAACATGAGACCTCCCTCTGACCTGGTTCAGGCCTCGTTTAGACCTTGTTTAGACCTGGTCTAGACCTGGGTTAAGGCCTGGGCTAGTCCTGGTTTAGAGCTGGTTTAGAGCTGGTTTAGACCTGGTTTAGAGCTGGTTTAGCTCTAATCTAGTCCTTGTTTTTACCTGGTTTAGTCCTGGTTTAGACCTGGTTTAGGCCTGATC